CTGAGACCATGACAATGAGGGCCAGCAGGAACCAGCTGATGGAGTGTTGGAAAATAACCCCTTTGCTAATAAATATTATCAGCAAAAAATCGGTTCCCTGCTGCAGATGGAAATTAAATGACATACAACAGACAGAAGACTAAATTTTGCTCACAAGCCTGGGACTGAGCTGATGGTCAAAGCCCAGGTGGGAGAGAGACTCTTCCTCCAGACACAGAGGCCTCCTGCACATGATTAACACCACTCACATGTGGAAATCCTCTGCAAGCAGGTAGCTACCCTGTGAGTAAAGCCTTTATTTTTTATTATCTGCAGGGTCAGGACTGCAGCTTTACCTCCTTCCCACCCAGCATTCTCTGTGTTAATGTAGTCCTTCAGGCAGGCAAACCACCCAGCACTTCATCTCTCCTTTATTTCTTCTTCCTCTCCTGCATTTTATTTGACTCCAAAATGAAAATGGGGGAGAGGGCGGAAGGTTAGAGGAAAGCCTGCAGAGTATTCCTCCTCCCCAGATTAGGATTTAATTGTATTCCTAGTGAGTCCCTTCTGGTTGTGCTCGGTCTTTCAGATGAATGTTTCATCAATATGATTAGGATCACATCCCTCAGTCTCGTCTATTTACACAATCGGTTGTGACAGCTCAGAGCATAGTACTCCCTAAAGGAAATATTAGATACCACCCTATCATTTTATTCAAATCATATTTTGCACTCCACACTTTCAGCCTAATATCATTCTCCCCTGGATTACATATTTGTGATATCCAGCAAGCACTAAAATCCTTCCAACAAGGATTAAATTAATATTTATATTAGCCATACTCATTATGAACAGGGATATAGAGATTTTGGAAGGGGAGGAGTGGGCTACAGATACCTCAAGAGGCTGGGGAATGGGCTTGTATGTACAAAAAAAAGTGGGACAAACAGTGAATAATAATAATAATAATAATAATAATAATAATAGCAGCACCGATGGTGGCAAATCCCAGCTTCATGAGGTGGAGGGGCGGGAGGGAAGCACCGGCAGGCCCCATCTCCCTCACCTCAACCCCCTCGGCGCCATTTTCTCCCTAGGGCCAGCTCCCCCGGCCCCCCTAGCCTGTAGTCCCGACGGGAAGGGGCATTTCTGAAGCCTAACGGTACCGCAGGAGGCACCGCGGGCCTATTCCCCCTTCGGCCGCCGCCGCGCTGTGGCGGCCCTGAGGGGAGGGCGGCGGCGGCGGCCGAAGGGGGCTGTAAAAATAACCGTTCCCTGGAAACCCCCCGCCGTTAATGCCCGCTCCCCTCAGAGAGCAGGAGGTAACAAGCGAGCAGGTGGTGAAAAGGCGGCCTTGAGGAAGGTGGGAAGTAGAAATTCAGACCGAAAGTAAAACCCCATCGCATTACTCGAAGAGAAAACACACCGAAAAATACCTGCTCCTTCCTCCCCGGAGTGCTGAGACCGCCGCGGACGAGGAAGGAGCCTTTTCTCCCGAGGAGGTCGGACAGACGCCATTGGAAGAAGAAGCATTTCGGGGTCGTTTCGTTTTCCCGCCCAGGTGTGAAGCACCAGCGATACAGTTTGGGGCGAGCAGCAAGAGACGAAGTTTCGTTGAAAAAAAAACCAAACAAAAAATTACAAAAATCAGACGGTTGCTCCCGACGTACCGCTGCAAAGAGGACAGGCGGAAGAGGCGATGACCTGTCGGGTCTGCTTTAACGAAAAAACCCCAAAAAACAGAGTCTTTGGTGAGGAAATAGTCTCAGTCCCTCGGACGAGCCCACCTCCGCTGCCTCTATTGCCCCGCCGGGCGCCCATGCACGCAAAGCGCCGAACCGCTCCCTCGGCTCAGTGGGGAAATATCCCAGAGAATTGCTAATTCGCGGGGAACGGCATCAAATGGTTACACCGGTGTACCCCCGTTTCCCGGGGCCCGCGGGGAAAAGGAGCGGAGCCCCCGGAGCGGGCAGAGCCGGCGGCGCCTTTGCCCGCAGGGATCGAAGCAGACGCGGGCGGGCTCCAGCCAACGGCCGCGGAGCTCCGGATTTTCCTTTAACCGAGAACTGGGTTTTGCAGCTTCACCGAGCAGGCTTTCTCACTGCACACCACCGCAATGGTGTAAACAACTATTTATTTATTTATTTATTTATTTTCCTCTAGACGCTGCTTGCCCCCCATTCCCGTCCAAGCTGTCGTTTCAAAGTCGCACGCAGTTTCCATGCGAGAGCTACCGAAATCGCAGGGACGGACGGGGCCGACGGACGCCTTTCCTCACAGCGTTTTCTGCCTGCAAGCTGCGAGGCGAAGGTGCCGTGTTTCCCGGCACACGCCCGCCTTGCCCGCGGGTGTCGGGGCTGTGGAGGAAGGGGCAGTCATCCTCGGGGACACCCCCTCCCTCCAAATCCGCGATAAAAAGCCCGCCGAGGCTAGGCGGGGCTCTCCACCCGGAGCCTGCTGTTTGTCTCAGTAAATCACATTAAGAAGCAAAGTGCAAGGGTAGTTAACTTTATCTTCTGTTAATGTAAACAAATAAGAAGCATTCAGTTCCTTGATCTTTATTTAAATATAGAGTTGTTTATCGGTGTCATCCTATGAAGATTAATTAGATACCTTTATTCACAATTTGGCGTCTGACACCCCGTTTTAGGAATGCATTATAATCACAAGGTGTTAATTGGGGCCAGCCAGGCACTTACGTTTCTATTAAACAGTGTGAGGACTTTTCACAAGTATTAAGTTCTTTTTTTACCTCTCAGTGCAAAAATATACAGCTTTTAATAACACACCGCGGCGGAATCGTGCTCCTGAGCGCTGTACCATCGGCGTTGGCAGCGCGGGAAGGGCGGGCGAGGAGCGGCCGGCATGCCACTGCACCGCCCGGCGGGAAACGGGGGACAGCCCGCCTTTCCACGGGGCTTTACCGGCAGGGAGTATCCCCCCTTAGAAGAAAAAATACGGAAACAGAAGAAAAAAAACAACCCCCCAAAAAAACCAAAACCAAACCCCCAAAACCGTATTCCGTCCGTAGTCGCTTAGAAATTACCGCGGGTCCCCTTCTGTCCCAAATCTGATGTGACTCCTCGTGCAGGGGGAAGAGCTGCTGGGACACCGATTTGTTTCCTTTGCCAACGCGCAGAGCCGGAGCCTCGCACCCAGAAGTGAAGAGCTGATCGAAATCTCCTCGGAAGTCCGCCGCTCTCCGCTCCGGAGCGGGGGGTAGGGGGGAAGCCTCCCGGGGGCCGCTGCCAGCGCCCCCCGATCGCGTTACCTCCTCCGGGGAGGGCCCCAGCCTGAGTCCCTGGTTTGTTTTGTTTGCAGCCGGGCATCGCTAACAGTTTAATCCCATTACTGTCTGCATATCCTCAGGAAAGGTCCCGCTGCCGCGGGAGCCGGGATTCAATTGCTTTGCCAGGAGGGGCTTTCTCCCCAGATAAGCGGGCAGGGGAATTTCTTACCGTGTTCCGGGAAACGGAGGGGGCGAGCAGGGGCCGGCCCCGCTGTTGCTGGGGGAGGAGAGCCGAGTTCACAAGTCGCTCCCCGGGACGAGGGCTGAGCTCACACCTCGCCTCCCGCAGCCTCGCAGAAGGGGGGGAGGTAGGGGAAGAGGCACCGTCGGATTTTTGGACCAAGCTGGGGAGGAGGGGGGTGCTCAGAGCTTGCAGGGGATGCATAGGACAACTGTGACAAACCGTGAGATATATATAGATATAAAAAAAAAACCACCACCACCAAAAAACCCCCAACCAACCACACACTGATAGCAGCATCCAAATGAGCACAGTGCCAGGGATAAAGCTGCAAGGAGAAACTTTGCAAGGGATTGCTACATTCAGAGACAACTCAGCCCCCAAGGATTGTGCTCCCTCCTTCTCCTCCCCCCCCCAGCTGGGACACCCCATAGAGGCAAAGAAGAGGCACAGAGCCACCCCCACTCTTATCCCCGGCACCACCACATTTATTAAAAATTACTACTATGTACATAGAAAAAGAAAACAGAACCAAGTTTTGTTGGGAGAAGTTTGTGTGCCAGTGCTCTAGGGTTGATCAGTTTAAAATGGCTGAAACTATAGGCAAGAAGAGTGGGTAAGTTACATCACTTCCAGTTTTGTACAGGGCAGCTGAAAAAGTCACTTTACATACATGTAAATAGAAATCTGTTCATGTTTTTTTGCAATGTTCCATATGCTAAGTTTGAGTAACAAAAAAAGAAGCCTTTTGAACTTCAAAGTACCACTGGAGGTCCTTCTGACTGAACAGCTATAGGTCAACTATTTATACATTATTCCACAATATTCTACAGTGTACCTAGACAAAACACAACTGTACACTTTGCTTTTTTTGGCCACCTCAGAAAAGGTTAGGCTTTTGGGATGGAAGCATGGGGGGGTTTCTTAATGCAAGTTCTAAACTAAGAAAAGTCAGATTTGGTCATTGTAACCCCATCATTAGTAACAAGACCTTCAAGTCAAAATCCTGCCTGGCAAGCAGGCCTTATTTTGGCTATCTTCTGCCAAAGAAAGCCTTAGCTGAGCAATATCCAACTTGGCCAACTGCTGCAGAAACAGGTTGAAGAAGCCAGCTCTATCTAGAACAGAACATAGCATTTGTGCAGCTCCCTGCAACCCAGCCTCCTTTTATCAGAGGGGGAAGCAGGAGAGAAAGTTAAATTTGGGATCCTACCCCCCTATTTCCTTGCTCAGGAGTGCATAGATTTGATCAGGCCTCTGAGCCAAGCCAAACTGTACACTTTAGTGTCTCCAATAAATAAGCCACACTGTAAAAATCTAGGCTCCTGCTTACAGCTTCCACGTGTGGTTCCTTCTAAAAGAGGGGAAGAATTCTACCATAGTTCACTCTTTCCCTACTTTGCTACCTGCAACACTCAAAAAGCTTTGGCACCTTCTTTAGAATTGCACACAACAATTCAAGGTGGAAGGCAAGAGTCTTTTTGGCAATTGTAATGCAAAAAAACCAAGGCCACCCTGAAAGAAATTAGCCAATTGGAATAAAAGGATGCTTTAAGAACTAGTATAGAATGCGTAGTAGCCCATGCCTTTTGAAGTGTCCTTGCTATAGTCCTCAGCATTAATGTCCTCACATTTCATAGTCGGGGAATTTTCATTGCTGGAAGTGCTAGGGGAGAGCCGTCTTCTCTTACAAGCACCCGTGTAGACCCCAGAATCATTTGAATCTAGAGACTTTATGGAGGGTGGAGTCTCTATCCAGGATGAGCCAATTTCTTCTTTCACCTTCTCCTTGGAAAGCTGGTCTTCAGAGAAACCTGGAGGACTTGTTCTGGAGGTCCAAGGTAATCCTGTTGTCATTTTTCGCTGGTAAGAGCCCCTGCTCCCCCAGCCTGCCATGGATGGAAATGTCGGGTCAGGGTAGTATCCCAGAGCATGGGATGTCTGAAGGGGGAGGGATTTAATGCTGTAAGGGAGCAAGGTGCTAGGAGAATACTCCGTCTCATAAGAGTTCATGTCCAGTTTGTTGGCACTGGGCTGCTGTACAGGTGTAACAAACCACCGCTGGGGAGGGCTGGCCACCTCTTCATTCTGCTGAGGGGAGAGCAAGCCGTTTGTCTGAGGGACGGTTCTCTCACCATTGTAAAACCTGGCTGGGGGCAGGTTGTTGACAAACTGTTCTTGGAAGAACGGTTGCACGCTGTATCGGGCACCAGGAACAATCTGGTGGGATCTAGGAGAATCCGTGGGAGATGGAGTTAATCTGTCATTTTCTGAAGCTGTGTACATGCTACAACATAAAAGAAAAATACTGAGTGTTGTTCTTTACAATTCCAGTGTGACAGTAAAACAAAACAAACACACAAATGGGAAGAAACTGAGTTATTTCTTAGTTAGAATCACAACTACATTTAACTGGATGTTCATTTTTATCCAGTTTAGGAGTTCAGGTTGTTTTTCTAGAGCAGTGTAAAATTTATAATCTTGCTGTTACAAGTATACACTGTTCTCTGCCAGCCAACCCATTTTAAATGGGGTGCAGCACCTTCCTCCCAGAAACCATAGCTGTATACATACAGCTCCGGCTTTTCAAAAGCCATTTGATGCTAGAGAGCGAGCATTAGGCAAGTCTTCTGCTGACAGTTTGAAGCAGCTGCCTGCTCTGTGAAGATACTTGATACACTACTGCCAATCCGCAGGCAAGCTAGGTTCTGCCAGTAAAAATTTTCTACCAAAATTCAGAAGCCTGCTGGAAGACAGGTCATCAAGACAATACAGTAACTATCCAAGCAGACGTTTAATGCCTTTGATAGGAGCACATCAGCTAGCAAAGCAGCCAGTAGAAGTATCACTAGTCTTGCATAACTGAAGTAGTGACTAAAGAAAAACTCTTTCACACACATTTCAGGCCAAAATCATGCCTCCAAGAGAGAAAGCTGCAGAGAAGACAGAAGTGTACTTACGAGTCATAGTTGTCTCTGAAACCTTTTGCAAAAGGATTATGGTCAATTTTGAGCTGGGTAATCTAAAAGTGAAAGCAGAATATAGCAAGATGAGACAGTGAACTCAAGACAATTTTATTCTTAATTGTCATTTTATACATCCATGCTTACATCAGTGTTTTGATACGCTGTAACTGCTATGAACTGCGTTTCAGGGAAAATAAATGTTTGAGTCTTTGAGGAGTCATTCAGATCTTCAACACCATCTTCAGTCACTTCCACAATGTGAAGCCGGGGCTGGTACTTATGTAGAGATTGCAGTACTATCATCTAAAAGGAACCATGAAAGAGACAAGATCTTTAGACAAACTGCATCTAACATTAAAACATGTATTTCATAGCCTAACACTTTCTTCCTGTAAATTTTAATCTTTTGACATGGGAATGGAGCAATTTTAACTATTAACAGGAGATGATTCACAGCTTGTAGCCCTGTTTCACTAGGTTATAATATGCTAAAATCTGTAAATGCAGGAAATCAAGAGCTATCAGCTACACTCCCACTTTGAGCAACTCCGGAAATAGATATATTATTGTCTAAAACCAAAGAAATTCACACATCTATTTCTGACATTTCTAATTATCTTTATAGGGACAAGCAAAGGAAACAAGATCTACGATCCAGTTCAAGAAGCAAACAAGTCACATCTAGCAGCTCGATGAAATGCTGTAAAGCCCTGAAATCCCAGGGGTCCCCTGGCTGGGCCACCAAGAGCCCCTCAAGCCTGCCTCCACACACCCCCCCCCTGCCATTTACCTGCGCGTTGTTGTTGTTAGCACCTTTATTGTTCGTTAGCTTCAGTTTCCCGAAAGAAATCTCCTGCCTCATCCAGTGAGCCCCAGTGTTGGGCGACTCAGGGTGGACGTACACCTTGTTGCCTGCGGAAAATAAGCCAGTAAAGCGCCTGCCGGGCACAGGCGCTTTGTTCCACCGCCGGCGGCTCGGAGCAGCGGGGCAGGGCGGGCGGCAGCGCCCGGGCAGCACCTCGGGTCCCCGATGTCCCCGCTCCCGCACAACCTCGCACACCGGGGTGTGAAAAAAAAGTTGCAAGACGCCCTTAAAAGCGTAGCTCTGCCCGCAGCGGGATGCCGGGGGTGGGGAAGACCCTGCAGAGGCGGGGGGAAGCGGGAACCCTTTCTGGGAAGCCGACTCGCAGGGGAAGGCGGCGGGGAGACCCCAGAGAACCCGCACCTACCTTGCATGTTGTTGTCGGCTTTGCCGCAGGTCACCCACTTGCCCCCCTGGAAACGCCAGTGGTTGGGGTCCGCCAGCACTACCTCCACGAAGACGTTGTAGTGGGCCGTGGGGTTGAGGCCGGTGATGTTAAAGCTCAGGAAAGGAAACATCCTCCTGGGGAGGGGAGGAAAAGCACACGGCATGCGAGGCGGGCCGGGGAAGGGGGCGCAGGCTCCGGCGGCAGCTCCGTCCCGCCATCGAGGAGACCAAGGAGGCGAGCGGCGAGCCCCGACCGACCCCCGCCTCATCCCCCGGCCGCCTGGCGCGGGGAAATCGCGAGAGCCGCTTTTCGAGGACGGCATCGCCGGGCCGGAGGCACTCCCGATGGGGAGGGCACGCAGCTCCTTCCCGGTGGAGCGGGCAGCGCTGCCCAGCACGGAGCGGCCGCGGGCGTCCCCCCGCCCCGCTTCCCTCCGTTTCGGCCCGCCCCCTGCCCGCTTACCGGCCCTGCTTGGTGATGATCATCTCCGTCTGGTGCCGGTGGAACTTGAGCCAGAGGGGCCGGTTGCAGAGGAAGACCTGCGCCCGCAGCCCCGGGCCGGCGGCCGGCACCCCCAGCGCCCCTAGCCCGCCG